CTTCTGTTATAGTTAAGATCAGATCAGTTCCATAGATTCAGACGCACTGTAGGATGCAATTCTCAGACATTCTCAGGCTGCCGAGACCGTGGCTGCCGGCCGCAAGGCTGAGGCTTGCGTCTTCTTCAAACTCGTCAGATCAGTTCCGATTCGTCACCAAATCTGCGTCAGTTCAGTCTTGATCCTTCCATCAAGAGACCTGCCATTCTGCAGTTCGCTTGTTCTGTTAGTTAAGATAAGATCAGTTCAGAATGTTCGGACGCAAGTATAGGCATTAGGCTCTCGACTCTAGACAAGATGATAGCAACCCTCGATTTTCGACCTTACCCACAGTGGTTGAATCCGGAGACAAGATCGTGTTAAGTCAGTAGCAGTCCCCACGGGCACAGTGGCAGAGAGAATGCTGCGATGCAGGTTTTCTCACCTCCTCCTGAACCAGAGCAGGAGGTGCACGATTGGCCCAGGGTGTTGACACCGTGAGCCAAGCATGTGGGCAGGAAGATGTGGTCATTCAGTGGGATGAGCAATCGGGGCGCCCTCTTGGACCTCAGCAGGCGATTCTTGAAATCAAAAGCATCGACTCTGTCAGATTTTCATGCTTTTTAAGGTATTGTTTCTCAATATAGGATGAATGAGCAAGACAAACAATCGTGTGCGCCCCTTTAGGAATTGCTGGGCATGGGCTTGCAAAACTTAGTCCTCCAAAAAGTAACGCGCAGCAGGTCGGCCCTTCCGGGGCCTCAAGCCTTTGTGCTGGTTGGCACGGGGTTCTTCAGGACCATAGATACAACGGAGGCGGAGGGTGAATGGCAGCTGGGAGTATCATTATCATAGCAGATCCCCAAGAGTCACTAGAGCGTCTCATGTACAGGTCTTTAAAACACATCAACGTTTGTTTCTGTCTTCGAGACTGTCTTCATTCATGAGGAGCAGGACTTTACTCACAGGCACCTGGACGGATGCTTGCAGTAGATTTACAGGCGAGGGTGTTCCTGTGTTTCTTTGTTGGGCAAGAGAACAAGAGCAGCAAAGAAAAACGGAGAATTTGAACATCCTCTGAAGGCTGCAAGTGTTTCCTTTGTTTCGGTGTTGCAGGATCACGAGAGATCCAAAGAAAAGAAGGACGGATTTGGCCATCCCTCTGGTCCAACCTTAGTTGGCAAAACGCACAAGGACAGATGTCGGCTGAAGGATTACCTTTTCTTTGGCCGTTCAAGCTTGTGTTTGCTGCAGGATAAGAAAAGCCAAAAGAAGAAGGCTTGGCATCGCCATGATGCCGCTTTGAGGGTCAAACTATCAAGCGTGATTGCTTCCAGTTGCAGGAAAAGAAAGCTCAGAAGCGTGACAAGGAGACACCATGAACAAACACCAGTTTTCTGGATTAGATGAGATTGGTCTGCTTTTGATTCAGATCAGGTTGCCCTGCAGTTGCAGGACAAGAAAGCTAGGAAGCGTGACAAGGATATAGCATGACGTTGCGACTGGTTCTTCCACATGTTTGATTCCATGTGCAGGAAAAGAACCAGTGTCCTTGATTAGATCAGATTGGCCTGTTCTTAGTTCCGATCAGATGGGACTGATGTTGCAGGACAAGAAAGCTGACAAGCGTGACAAGGATCGCATATGCCTTTCCCATGACCATGATGAACAAATGATGAGATCGTATCATAGAAATGCTGTTTCTTGGTGGATGCTCGAATCAAACTCTGACGCAGGACAAGGGTCCCGTCTCAGACAGGGACTTGCAACTCGTGAAAGCAGACGAGGAGAGCTTTTCACGTTCCCTGTTGTCTGCTGCAGCAAAACCATCAGCGTAGAGATCAGAGCAGATCTGGTCGGATCAGAGATATGCTGTTTTCGATCTCACCTCTTCTGTTCGGCCGGCGCTGGCTCTGCTTCCTGAGGCAAGGCTTGAAGCCGCCGCCGGAGGCGAAGCAACGGAGCTCACAAGGCCGTGAAGCAACTGATTTTCTGGAGGCCCCCATCGACCTCGACCTCGATGACAAGCCCGGATGCGGAGTGTTTGCCGTGATTCGTAGGAATGAGGCCATCCTCGCCGGCCGCGCAACAGAAGCCAGGGTGCGCAACGATGTTGCAAGCCTGCAGGATGACGGTCACGGCGTGCTGGACAAAGACAAGGCCTGCTGGATGTGTAGCTGCCCTTCTTCGAACGAAGCCAGGGTGCGGAACGATGTTGGAAGCCTGCAGGATGACGGTCACGACGTGCTGGACAAAGACAAGGACTCCTGGATGTGTAGCTGCCCTTTTTCGAACCACCTCATGCAATCATCGAAGCGGATTCATGTTCTGGCTTGGGCAAAGAGCCTGAAACTGCACGCGGCTGTGAATCAGCATGATGGCAAATGGGCTTGCTCTGCATGCGCGTGGTCCGGCTGGTAACCAAAGAGCCTCTGTGCTGCTTGGCCTTTCTTGGCATATCTTGGCATATACCTTGGCCTATCTTATTTCGAATCAATCCAGCTCTGCCACCACAGCTTCGCTTTGAGGTGCAAACCATGCCACAAACGAACAATACCCCGCACCGCAGTTTCCTTGAACGACACTTTGCGCCTTGTGTCGCGGACCCGTGGGCGCTTGGGCACTGGCTTTGCTCAGCTGGACCGCGATCTGGCGATCAACAGCTTGTGCACCTACGACCTACGATTCCTGAATAGAAGAGCGAGGCTTGGAGGCTTGGGTAGGCTGCCTTTGCAGGTTTTGGTTTCAGGACTCAAACGCATGCTGCTCGGCTTCACCGCGACGCATGCGTACATGCCAGGCTTCCAACCAGTTTGCGCTCCAACCATATCTGAGGAGTTCCGACAAACTCTTGGCAGAGCTGTTTATACCGCTCGCAGATGCAAAGACGAAAAGCTTGCTGGCGCCACTGTTGTTGCTTTAAAAGTGCAGCGTGCGTCTGTGTTCAGATCAAATGGCAGCGCAGACGAGATGTGTTCAGTTCAGATCAGTTTCCTGCTGAGTTTGCAGTCTGCGCACCAAGGGTTTGGTGCGCCATTCTGTCATTTTGGTGCGTGTATTTGCTTTTTTTGGTGCGCGATCTTTTTTGCGACCGTGGAAAGGGGCTGAGAGGTCCCAGGTCTGGGGGCAGCAGACAAGACTGGCGGGAACGGGCGCTATGGGGCCTTGTGGAGCGTGGAAGGTTATAGGCTAGTATACTTAGGCAGAAAGGGGTCATGCGTGGGCGAACTGAAGCAGGTTCGGAAGGGCGTGTGTAGGGGATGGAATCTGTAAGTTTAAGGCAGAGAGGGCTAAGCGTAAGCAAACTGATGCGGGTAGCTGGGGGTACGGCTCGGGGGGATATGTAAGGCAGAGAAAGCTACGCTCACCCGAGTTCACATCCGCCGCCCCCAAAGGGGTCGGCGGAATCAATTACCACACCGACCCTACTTGCTGGCCGGGCGCGGCGTGGAGGTGGGCGCTCTGGAGGAGCAATAATCGGGTGAGGGGCTTGAAGGGTTGGACGCTGAGGGGTCGAAAGAGCAGGGTGGGGGTTGTGCTTGCCTCCGGGCGCGGCATACGCGTGGGCACTGTGGGAAAGCAGTCGGGTGTGGGAAGCTTGAAGGAATGTGGTGGACGCCGCGGCGGCCGGTGTGGTGCCTCAAGGGTTAGACCGGTTAGGCGTGTTTTGGGCGCTGAGGCGCTCGGCGCGCTGGGGGCTTTTAAGCTTTCGGGCTGCCTTGGCCTGGGATGGCCTCGATCTAAATTACAACAGTGCCGTGAGCGCTGTTCAAAACGGTCGGGCGGTGGGCTGTGAGGAGGTCCACAGAGCGCAGCGGCGAAAGCCTCCAGTAGACGCTGAGGGGTCAGGGCTGTGCTACACAAGCCGAAACGGTGAAACACAACCTCTGGGCGCCGCCCCGGGGTCGGCGGATAACAAGAGCTTGCTGTGTGTCGATGACGAGCAAGGTACGCCAGAACCTGCTCCAGTTCTTCAATCACAGGACTTGCTGCATGTGCTGGATTGAACTGCGCACTGCTCGGGGGATTGCTTCTCGCGTCTGCCGCTGCGTTGCTAGATGCTGAGGAGTTGTACCACGCTGGTCCAACCAGCAGGGGCTGAGAATGACCCACAAAAGCTGAAGGATATGCCATATCCGCAGCATGCCCAGACCACATGGTACTTGTGCCTCGCAGCATGGCATGCTGAGAGTCTGCAGATCTCATGTTCAGGTCACTCTGCAGCGAGTTTCGAGCTGGTGTGGAGGCCATCTTGAAAGCTTCGTTGTAGCAGACGGCCGGAGGACTGGAGGACATTTCTGCTCCAAGGCCATGTTGGCGCAGCTTGTCGCGATTTGTCACTCGCGGCTCAACTGCACTCAGAAGTGGATGCCCGTCGCCACACCGCCGAAGACTATAGACAGTTTCATGTCCACCCGTGGGAAAGTCGGAAACATCGTTAACTGGTGATCTGGCTGCAGCTACGAGCAGGGAGGGACATCCTGTACTCTTGGCCGCTGCCGCTTCGCTTCCGTAAGCTTCTGAAGCCGGGCGCGTTGCCGTTGTGCTAACCTTCGGACAATCTATGTACTACACCACTGTGCCCTCAAGCCCTGGCCTCGAAGAGGGACACTGCTTTTGTCGAACGGTTTCTGAAGTAGTCACACGATAGTTGCTGACTTTCCTGTTCCGCATTTACCACGACTGTTGGCGCCGCGGCACCCAGTGGACCTGGAACAGGGGAATGCCAAGACAAGCTTCAATGCCGTAGACCCTTGGTACCCCTGGGGGAGACCGCACCCAAAAGAAGCGCAAAGCTGAGAAAATCGCATCAACGCCCCATTGACTTTCTCACATTCCGTTTTTTTTTGAGAGAACCCGACCCTGTGTTGAATGGATGGATCGTCGAACGTTTCCAGCCAGACCCGACTGGGGCCGAAGCAGCACTTTTTTGTTACAAAGCTGGACCGAAGGGGCTGATATCATCACAGCAGGGCAAGATCTGTTGTCGCAAGATGTTAGGGGTATTTCTGCCTGGAAAGGCATCCCAAGATGGTGGGTGGGCAGTCGCTTGGCTGCGCATCCTTCGCGGCCCAGCACTTGGCAGTTGAGGCTTCCTTATTGTGCACCCTCACGGGCGCATGCCGAGGCTTTGTTGAAGCACTTGGTGGAAGCAATGAATGAGTCCAAGCAGCTGAGTGTGAAGGGTGCGTGGGATGCCGATGGGCGCTCAGCCTTTGCCGGCAAGGTGCTGTTGGGGCGCAGTGAGCCAGCGTGAATAGACTCAGACGAACGCACGGAAACAAGGTGCAACACACCACTTGTGGCGGTCTTGCTGACGAGCTTCGCGGAATCGCTTCACAGAAGCTGAAGCTCCTGAAGTCTGGACAGGCCGGAGCACGGAATAGCATGGAGCAGGGAAGGGCCATTTGACTTTGAGAGTAGGGGCGGCGGGCGGACTCATAAACAGGCAAAAAAGAGCCTCTATTTCGGAGCAGATTGTTTGGTCTCATAGTGCCTTGCACCTGCCGATCTTCTTGGCAGGCCTTGCCTGATGGAACGCAGCTGCCGATGACGGATGAAGCGCTCCGGGCCTTCTTCCGAAATCAGCGCCATGAGTCGCTCGACTGCCACGCATGTTTTGGGCAGAGCCTGCAGAGCTCGCTGATCAGATGTTTAACATCAAGGTTGAAAGACCGATGGGAAGAACAAGCGGTCGGCTAGATCCCAAGGGAGCTGGTCATTGGGACTTCGGAGGCACGATAACCGCTGGTAGCTTCTTCCTGAGGAGACGAGGAGGTGCGAAAAGAGTATTGGCAAGAACTGAAGGAGACGTTGGCCCGCGAGGCGTGAACATCCCCCTTCCTTAGATCTGTCATGGTTTGCCGTGATCTGCCTCGGGAATGGGCGCTGGATGAGCGCATCTCGCTTCCTGGTGAAGGAGCTGCAGGTGCGGCAGCAGAACGGCCGCCTTGCAGACCAGCAGCTCTCGCAAAGCTTAAAGCTATGGCAGGCGCGGCAGACTTCGCGCAGCAACTCTCGGCTGTTTCGGCTACCCGGCTACCCTACACTGCCTCTACGCAGGACTGGCTTGACAACTCCGAAGGCACCATCGAGGAAGGCGAGGGAAGCGAGCTTTCTCCTGTGCTCCCTTCACCTTCTCCGCCTCTCGGCCTCGCCAAGGCGAAAAGATCTCGGCAGATTTGGGCAAACTCTTGGATGCTTCACCGAAAGAACTACGAAAAAAAGGCACGAGCATCTGAGCTTTCGGAGAGATCCAAGGAGCATCTGCCTACGACGACCGTGGCTCGAGCAGGGCGTGCAGCCATCGAGGTGGGAAGTTGCTGTGACTCAGAGCAGGTTAGAGCAGAGCTCAGCAGAGCAGAGCGGCTGAGCGGCTAACGACGCCTGGCGAGGCTGCTGCCAGAAGAGTGGCCGGAGCTCGCACAGCTGTGGTCGCCACTGTGATAGGCTAAGAATGGCCGGTTGTTCCGTCGGCATTCCGAACACAGAAAACCTTCAAGGTCGAGCAATCGGCCGAAGCTCAGCGACGAGCGCTTGCCTGGGGAGAGCAGGCAGCAAAACTTGAAGGCAATGTTCGCGCCGAGCTCGAGGCCACGAAGGCGCAACCCCAGCAGAACAGCTTTGGTCTGCGGAACGCTTTCTGTTTCCCACCGGAGGCGGCCATCAAGAAGGCTCGGGGGTGCGCAGTCTCAGTGAGAGTGCATTCTCTTCGAGAATGCAGGCCGCAGATCGGTGGCGACAGGCAAGCCAAAGCAAGGAAGCGAAGACAGTGGAGTTGCAGGCCCTTGCATGCGAGTGCGCTGAAGAAGGGATGACAGAAATCGCCCTTTGGGCATCGTGGGGGGGGGGGGTGGGGGGGTGGGGGGTGGTGGACCCCGAACTACATACCCCTTTTCAGTCATGTGCGTCGCGGGGTTTTGGGGCCGTATTGGTGTCTTGAACCTCGCAGGAGAAACCCCTGAATGCCGATAAGCACTTCGGCCGGTGACCATGCGAAGGTTTGTGAAATTCTTGTTGCACACCACACACCCGTTCTCCAGGGGCTCACTGCGCCAACAATGCACATGATGCTGCCTCGCTCAAGAATCAAGTTAAGTTAAGTACTTGTAATTACCGTAAGCGGTGATGCTGAAGGTGGAGATTTTCATGCGAGCTGGCTCGTGACTCGCAAGCTTTTCCTGCCGGCGTCCGTGCATTCATCTGTTCTCGTATTTCCCACCTTCGTTTTGCGTCCGTGAAGAGAGACTCAGGTTTGTCTGAGTGCCTCTCTGAGATAGATGAAGTTCTTGAGGATGATCATGGACCCTAAACTTGTGTGCTGCATGATCCAGATGGCAGTGACACTGCTGGCACTTCTGCTCACCCCAGGGGAAGGCGGCCGAACACGAGGATGGGCAGCAGCAGCTGCAGTCAGCTCAAGCGGAGCTTGAAGAGGCACATTCCCACAGCTGCATAGACATCCGTATCAAATCCGTGTCTGTGAAGACATTCCATGCACGCATGCGTGCATGTGCCTGATAAGTCCTTTCCCAGGCACGTGCTCGAGAGACGGAGCTGCAGGCCGCCAGCCAAGACCGGCGAGAACATGACAGCCAACCTACTTCGGCGCACGGGCGCATGTGTCCCGGCCCACCCGTGACAGGTTCTGAACAGAAGCGGCCAGGAGAAGGAGCAAACCTTGCAGCAGGAGTTGGAGGCACTGACGGAGAGCGAAGAAAATCCCTGCTTGGGGGGAACTCGTCCGAGGCTGCTCGGGCCATGGCTTCGAAGGCCCCTTGACAGATCAGAAAGCGGAGGGAACGAAACGGAAGCCAAAGGCATCGGCCGAACGGCTCGCCAGCCAGCGATGCAACGAGGCAGCTGCCGAGGCCAGAAGTCGTTTGCGCCGCACTCCGCCGCACTCTCGATGCCATACTCAGGCTGCTGGCAGACAAAACCTGCAGCTTCAAGAGGACCGTCCCTCTGTGTGTGTGTGTGTGTGCGCGTTTTGGTTGTGTGTGTTTTCGTTGTGTGTGTGATCATGTTTGTTTTTTTGTGCGTGTTTGTGTGCGTGCGTGCGTGCGTGCGTGCGTGCGTGCGTGCGTGCGTGCGTGCGTGCGTGCGTGCGTGCGTGCGTGCGTGCGTGCGTGCGTGCGTGCGTGCGTGTGTGTGCGCGTGCG